TTTTGGCCTATGGTCTTCTGCTTTGGGCATGCGGTCGTAGGCTGAGAAGGTTATACCTATCGTTTGGTGGGTGGTTGCGCCCCCACCCGCGCTCCTTCGATAGGGGTGTCGCTAAGGCCTTTCTCGGTTGGTTCCCTGGCACCTACCCAGGGGAAAACGAACCCCCTCTCTCTCAACGACCTTGGCACTTTGGGCGGCATATTCGCTGCATGCAGGTACTGTTAGTAAAAGAGTTCGCTACATGCAAAAGCAAAAATTTGAAAAGGCTACGGACACTTACGAAGTAAGGGTTCCAAAGTCACTTTAGAATTCAAGAAGTCGTACTTCCTCAAATTGGCGGTTGTCACAAGCAGTTTCACGTCGCCACAGTGATCTGGCAGGTTACTTAATGAAACTATTTGGTTGAAGTCAGAGAGATCTGTCAACCTGGTCGACTTGTTTCCTGCAAAGAGAAAACAAAGATCGTTAGAAAGTAAATCCCAAAAAGAAAAGAAAAAATTCACAAAGTACGAAAAGGGAAGACCTACTCGGCTCCCTAAAGCGGCAGATGTCATCGTAATGGAAAAAGAAAAACTTAGTCTCGTATGCCCCGACATTACTGGGGTAATTGAATATGCCTCCCTCGATCGTGGATCGCTTCAAGAGGTAGTAAGAATCTTTGTCCTTGCTCTTTTTTAAATAGTATGAGCAAGCGAGCTCCAACGCAGTTAGTTGGCCGAGGCCGTACTCGATGCACGTGATATACATAGTCACGACTATCATATATGCGTTAGGCGTCAGCTGTAAAGGTGCGACCCCGAAGTGATCGAGGATCGGCCTAATAAAGGGATGGAAGGGAATTAGTGCTTCGCTTTTGAATATAGCTTCAGAGATCGCAACCATTCCCTCTGGCGGATTCTGAGCTATATGCAACCTGTACCGGTAGATGTCTACACTAAGTGCGTATTGGTCTACTGCCTTCTGTATTTCCTCTCGGCTAGCCACTGATAGAATCTCTTGCGCAGGACCCACTAGGGTGCCTTGCGTTTTCAAGCTCGTCCCCTCATTTGTTCTAGTCTCTGTAGGGTCCATCTCTTCTACGGTCTAAAAAAAGGGGACACATACAGATTACTTAGTATTCGTACAGAATTTTGTACGATGATGTAAAAGAACAAAACCCTAATGTATCTTCCAAAAATCCTAAAATACCCTTGGAGACCACCCCCAATGGTTCATACCCTGAAAACCTATTCCTTACAAAATTCTAGCCATAAACACCCACCATTATCGCCTGGTTAAGTTGTCCACGAAACAAAAAAAGGAAAGCAATGAAAGGATCTTCCTTACCTTTTTGGCTGTGGGGGTCGAACTTCTTACTGTTAACAAAAAGTGCGCACCAACTTGAAGGATTGAAAATATGATCTCGTGAGAGCTTTTGGCTTTTTCTGAAAGTATGAGTGTTTATGAAATTGCTTAAGGCGAGCCTGGGGTATTATAGTGGAGGAAATGGCGATTGATTTTCCCGAAGCTAATTGACGTTTGGGCAGAATGCATCTCTCGCCATTGATCGCCACCAAGTGTCATCAATCGGTGAGAAGGAGTAACTGCCACGCTTCGAGAAATTCAATCATCGCGTCTCTCCGTTGAAATAATCGAGCGACGGCTCGATTCTCTCCTCCGCATTAAATGTGCTCCCATCCGCATTTAATGCTGTGATAAGGAATGTCGTTTCAGCATGTCTTGCATTTAATGCGCATGGCTGGCACTTTTTGTGCACAAGACACGTTTGTTAGAATAAAGGATACTTCATTAATGGATTAGCTGTCAAGCACAACGGATAACATCTGAAGAGGTCATTGGAAAAGAACATTCTTCGTCGCATGTTGGTTGCAAAGCGATGTGATTCCTTGCCTCCAGCAAAAATATGCCAAGTGTAATCAGGTCGTGGACCTCGGTTAAGATAAGAGGTGCATTGATACAGCACTAAGTAAGGTGTAATTCAGGTCGTCAACTTCGCGGAAGAAGACCATCTCAGGTCGCTCGTAGAAAAATGTTCTGCGACCTCTTTATAGCCAGGTCGGCTCCACCAGGCGTCATTTGGATATATCAAATCATGGCATAATTATGAAGTTCTCAAGGTTCGATTTTTAAACATTAAAAACTAGGGGATTTCTGTTATGTCGGAAAAAGCAGGGCTAATGTGGAGCCTCGTCAGTAAGGATGGTCAGAGTTCAGAAGGGTTATGCACCGTCTGCCCGTCTAGGTGCCGCCACGTCGTGCCTAGCGCAAGTGGCATGGCTCCTGTCAGTGCAGCAGGTGAGTTTCAGGCCAGCAAGCGGCTAGAGATCACCCACGTGTCAAAGCCCTGCTTTAATCGAGGAAATCCCTCAAGCAGGTGATCAATGGGACACAAAGAAAGGATTAGCACGGCACCTACCCACTTGCAGCTTTCATAATCATTACCTTGAACTTTCCCTCTATAAATAGAGGACTTCCTTCTCATTTAAGGGGGTTAGCTGATTTTACACTGAAATAGCTCTCTCTCTCTCTCTAAATTGTAACTCAACTTGCTAAATATGACCTGATCACTCTCTCTTATTAATACAATAACAGTGGACGTAGGATTTGCTTTAGAGCATCCAAACTATAAGACCACCAGAGTTGTCAATCTCCTTCGAAGAGCCAAATTCGGTGAGTTTACATGAACTTGAAATCGAACCAACGAGAATGTTCTTTCCTTTAACATTACAGTGAACGATGTCCCGAGAATGCAATTTCCTCGATCCTTCCCGTTTTAATATGTTATAAATTGGACGTGTTGAAGATAAGCGTATAATAAAATTCAATCTAATAGGAAACAAACACGTGCGTGTGAAGATGAAGCTGGATGTGCCCTGGAATTTCCAGACAGCTTAGCTCCAGTTTGGTAGGTGTGTGAGCAAGGCAGAGAGTCAAGTCAATATTATAACTTTATATAATAAATTAATCAAGTAAGTAGTTCAGTCATTAGTGGGTAGCTTCAATGCATGTTGCAGATAAGCCAAACTGAACTATCACCAAGATTAAATAGTTCAGTTAAAGCACAAGACAAAGTAGAAGCGATTAGTTGGCAAATTCTAGTTGAAGATTTTCATGTCCGAAGAAGGATCCTCCTCTCAATTAGATTCAATGTTAAATAGCCTGCTTCACGCCTTTCTCTCATAAACATGGACCAACATTACATTACACCAATAATGAATAATCTTTCAGGGAATCTCTTGATGTTCGTAAAATTAGTTTTGAATTTGTGTTTGTTGGCAGACGATACGAAGCTCACCAAATTTTGCCCTTTTTCTTTCACTAATGACAAATTTTTTATCAAACTATTATTAATTATTGTCAAGTCTTGTATGTTACATATTGTGTTAGTATGTCCTCATTTTATTTTATTTTTATAAAAATTCAAATATATTCGACAATAACGATGAAATTAATAAAAGTCTAGAGGTACAACCATATTGGTAATCAAATAAACATATCGTAGTTATAAGGTCAATATTATACTTACAACCCGATCTCACAAACTTTCTTTTACAACCCTAACGTAGTAACTAATCAACTCACAATAGGTCTTGTTTGTCTAATAATTGGTCTCACCTGTTTGATTGTGAGCTATCACGTTAAAGATTGTGAGAGAAAATTTTGAAGATTGGGTTGTGAACCAATCTTTATCGTAGTTATATACATTAATTTGTTTAGTGATCGTAGATGTTAGTTGGGGTGGAATTTAGAAGATATTTTGGCAAAATTGCGTTGTTGTTGTCCCTTAATATATAGTGAAAGATTGTTTGAAGCAAGTTGGAAAGAGGCACTATCTTTGATGACCCAAAAGGCTGAACGTATATAATTGCCTCATTCTAGTCAAATACAAAGACAGTTTGAGAAAAAACAGATAACAAACTTTTTTGTGATTTACTTATTTATTTATTCTCCTTTTTCAATTTAAAAAAGACGATGATTCATAGTATTGAATTATGATAAATGGTTTAAGGTGTTTAATANGGAAAAAAATAAAAATAAATCAAGAAGATTTGGCTATTAAGAATTCATCTTCTTGTAAAAGGAAAAGAATGACAAATAAATAGGTAACAAGAATAAGATAATCCGGAAATGAATCTCTCTTAAAGGAAAAAATAAAAATAAATCAAGAAGATTTGGCAATTAGGAATTCAATCTTCTTGTAAAATGAAAAGAATAATTAAGAAAATAAAGACTTGAAGAAGGAGAAAAAACAGACTCTATTTCTTTATTGAATAAAGAAGATAAATAAATAGGTAATAAAGGTGAGACAATTCCAGAAAGGAATCTCTCTTAAAGGAAAAAAATAAAAATAAATCAAAAAGATTTGGCTATTAGGAATTCATCTTCTTGTAAAATGAAATGAATAATTAAGAAAATAAAGACTTGAAGAAGGAGAAAAAATAGACTCTATTTCTTCTTGTGTTATTTTATTGAATAAAGAAGACAAATAAATAGGTAACAAGAATAAGACAATTCTGGAAATTAATATCTCTTAAAGGAAAAAATAAAAATAAATCAAGAAGATTTGACAATTAGGAATTCAATCTTCTTGTAAAAGGAAAAAAATAATTAAGAAAATAAAAAACTCTTAAAAAAAAAGATACACTAGCTAATACATAATAAGGAAACAAAACAATTAAATAAACACAGTTAACAGCTTGACTTTCAACAGTATGTTTGCGTAGTCTTGATGGATCAACTATAGGACAAAACGATTATATATGAACAACGACTAAACACAAAACACAAAACACAAAGAACAAAAGAAATGTTTGAAAGTAGTTTTACTGTTTATAATGCAAAACCTAATCCACTGTTACTATTAGTAATTCATGGAACCATAATATGCAAGAATTACAACATAAGAGGTACGTTGAATGTCAGTGTTAGATCATGTTGTATGTGTAGAAAATAAAGACTTGAGAGGAGAAAAACAGACTATATTTCTTCTTGTGTTATTTATTACAGCTCCACCGCTCACTTGGCTCCCTTCTTAAGCACTTCTCAACGAAATCACGACCCAATTCCGATATCTGAACCGGAAAAACCGGCAACTCCTTAGAGAACCCGATTCGAGTCAGAGTATCGGCACCGAAATCCTCCCACGCTGGCCTTCCAGTTACCATCTCGATAATTGTGCAGCCCAGAGACCAGACATCACTCTCCGGTCCCTGGTACTCTCCTCGAACCACCTCCGGCGCCATCCACAGTGGACTTCCACGTGGCAAAACGAGACCACCAGAGTTGTCAATCTCCTTGGAAGAGCCGAAATCGGCGAGTTTACACGAACTTGAAATCGGACCAACGAGAATGTTCTTTCCTTTAACATCACAGTGAACGATGTTCCGAGAATGCAAGTACCTCAACGCGGAGACTATACAGTAGGCGTGTGACCGTAAAATCTTCTCGTCCACGTAGGTCGCCACGTCAGCAGCAGCAACTGTGCCACAGGGTAAGTACTCCAAGTGGAGGTTTCTGAACGACGTCGTTGGAGACTCGTATGATACGTCGTCACCGAGATACTTGACAACGTAAGGGGAAGAAAGTGAACGAAGAATTCTGATTTCGTTCTCTAAACTGTCGATTTGAGTCGGATGACAGGCGTTCCGATCAACTGACTTCACCGCAAAAACGTGGCCGTTTAATCTGTCGACGGCTATATTCACAGTACCAAACGAACCTCTGCCTACGCACTTGCCTCTAACCCAAGAAACCATTTTGATTTTGCTGCCTCTCTAAGTTCTAAAAGTTTGTTAAGAGAAACTGAGAAAGTATGTGTTGTTGTTCACTTTTTCAGGGCCCAAAACGGTATATGCTATATATATACGTGTATGAAGTTGAAGAAACGGAATATTTAGTTCTGGTTGTCTAGTTGGAGGGTGTGACGTGGACTTTTTTATTATATAAATGGATAATTCAGGGGAACAGAAGAAAGAAAACTGTTCGGTGCAACAGTGAAAATATATTTCTGAGGCTAAAACTGGTTTGTCAGGTGTTGACGTAGAAGAGATAGTGGGGAAAGGATACTGGGTTTTATCCTTATCCAAGGCCATGTGGGACTAATCTAAGCCGTTGATCAAGTTAGATCAGAGTTTTTAAACGTGCAAAGTTGGTCCTTGTCTGTGATAGGTTGGTTGGTAATTTAACATGTGGTTATTTTTGTTCGTGGTGGGCAGAATTTGTTGGGATGGTAAGTAGTGTAGGTTACGAATTAGTCGTAATCAGGTTAATTACATGCAACATGTGCTTTAATTAAATGACCTTAAAATCTTAAAAGTAACCCATCGGAAGACCGGTATTTCTGAGCATAAAAAAGTGGGGCCCGCGAGAGTGATGATATGGGAGAAATTTGTAGGTCCACGTATTGGCATTATGCTTGGGTGTGTCGGGACTGGGTTTGCAGTAAGAGTTTAATGGAGAAGTTTGTTGACGTGCACGACCAGCCTCCAATAAATAAAATAATATAACATATAATAGTTTTTAATTTATCCATTCGTATATCTTTTGACAGATGATGCCCTTGTGTGTACTCATCATAATACTAGAGCCAATTTGAGTTCATACTTCCAACTTAGCCATTCACATATTTAATGAGACGCTCAGGTCAAGATTAGTTACAATATAAATTAGGATTCATGGCCATCACTATCTCCCACTGGCCACCCAAATTTTAACTGAATTAGGCTTCCATTCATTAAGGATGAGATTGATCAGATTTTTTTCCTAGTAGACGAGATTGAGCCACGTGTCATGTGGTAACATGTTGACACTTGTCACATTTAGGATGATTTTATAAGTGAGAGTATTTATGTTGGATAAGTTAGAACTAGTTCCTACGCAAGAGAAAGGGAAAAGAGAGTTGGAGTTGTCCACAATTATGTTTTTACACCATTTGGCAGACAAAGATCAAGTGCTGATTCATCTTTTTTTCTAAAAGCGGTTGTCTTGTCGTGTGTTTTTAGAACTTAAAGTTAGAGAGATAATGAAGAGACTAAGGTTAAGTAGCGGGGGTTATGGATGATTGTCGAAGAAATTAAATCGGACGGCAGACAATTCTAACGTGCATGAACGACATCGTTCCGTTTTTGGCGGTGGACATGCAATACAAACCTTTTTTAGGTGAATGCTTTAATTAAAGGTTCATGTGGGATTGGGGGATTTGCCCAAATTCATTCGGCCAGTTGTTAATAAAGAAAGAATCCATCCATGTTTTAAGTCATGTTGTGTTTTGAATTCATTCATTCATTCATTCAACCTAACAAAATCTTTATTCGGCACCTTCTATTGTGTCACAAATCTCCCTCGCGTCAGATAAATGACACAACATAAAACATGTATTCTATAATTTTTAAAGTGTTTCTGGGGTTATGTTTTGTTAGTGGGGTCATGTTGCTCCCTTTCGGTCCATCCTTAATAAACTAATTATTTATAAAATTAGGTGTGTGTATAGTATAATGTAATCTATTAGTAATTCATGGAACCATAATATGCAAGAAATTACAACAATAAGAGGTACGTTGAATGTCAGTGTTAGAATCATGTTGTATGTGTAGAAAATAAAGACTTGAAGAAGGAGAAAAAACAGACTATATTTCTTCTTGTGTTATTTTATTGAATAAAGAAGACAAATAAATAGGTAACAATGGTGAGACAATTCCAAAAAGGGATTTCTCTTAAAGGAAAAAAATAAAAATAAATCAAGAAGATTTGGCTATTAAGAATTCATCTTCTTGTAAAAGGAAAAGAATGACAAATAAATAGGTAACAAGAATAAGATAATCCGGAAATGAATCTCTCTTAAAGGAAAAAATAAAAATAAATCAAGAAGATTTGGCAATTAGGAATTCAATCTTCTTGTAAAATGAAAAGAATAATTAAGAAAATAAAGACTTGAAGAAGGAGAAAAAACAGACTCTATTTCTTTATTGAATAAAGAAGATAAATAAATAGGTAATAAAGGTGAGACAATTCCAGAAAGGAATCTCTCTTAAAGGAAAAAAATAAAAATAAATCAAAAAGATTTGGCTATTAGGAATTCATCTTCTTGTAAAATGAAATGAATAATTAAGAAAATAAAGACTTGAAGAAGGAGAAAAAATAGACTCTATTTCTTCTTGTGTTATTTTATTGAATAAAGAAGACAAATAAATAGGTAACAAGAATAAGACAATTCTGGAAATTAATATCTCTTAAAGGAAAAAATAAAAATAAATCAAGAAGATTTGACAATTAGGAATTCAATCTTCTTGTAAAAGGAAAAAAATAATTAAGAAAATAAAAAACTCTTAAAAAAAAAGATACACTAGCTAATACATAATAAGGAAACAAAACAATTAAATAAACACAGTTAACAGCTTGACTTTCAACAGTATGTTTGCGTAGTCTTGATGGATCAACTATAGGACAAAACGATTATATATGAACAACGACTAAACACAAAACACAAAACACAAAGAACAAAAGAAATGTTTGAAAGTAGTTATACTGTTTATAATGCAAAACCTAATCCACTGTTATGTATTAAGCCTATGCGTATTTATGATCTCAGTTACAAATAGTTATCTCAAATTCTCTCATTCTTAGCTTAGCCGTTCTTCTATGTGTATACCTTGTCTTCCCTTCAAAACTCTTAGAATAGGAAAACAACTTGATCTTCGGCTTTGATTCTGGAGTTTGTATCGCATGATATCTCCTTGCCAAAGTTGAAATTATTCTTTCTTAATTGGGAATTATCGTTTCCGGATTTTACCGCATAACAAACTCATAAGCAAAAAAGTATTGGTTGATTTGTTGTTAGTATATATGAGGAAAAATGAATGGTAATGGATGAATGAGTGAAAAGAACGTTCATATTTTGTTGACCTACAGTAACGTTTATATTCTAAAATATATGATTCTAAGAAGCTTTGACCCTTTAGTTAAATTAAGGGTTAAAGAAAACTATTCTTAAATTGACTCAAAGAAGTTTTCAATAAGGCCACTGGGGTCACCAAGAGTTGGCTAATCCTACTGGTTACAGAGGTATTGCTAATTGATACAAAGAACGGGTAAGTCAGAGTCAACCCAAGTTGGCTCTTCTGGAAAAGCCGCAATACAATTGACAACGTGTGATGTGGGAAGAAGCAAAGGCTACCTGGGCTGATTCATTTGCCTTTTCTGGGTCAATGGGGTCTTATACACAGCTGATCATGTCGCTATGTCGCCTGTTGCTATCTCGTATTTTATGTGGTGAACAGACAATTAAGCTCAACTTCAAGATTTGATTCTGCAAATGGTGGTGGGACTGGGGGCGTCATTCACATTACAATACGCCCCTCTTGTTCACATCAAAATTTTCTTGTCTACAGATAAGGATTTGGTTTTTGGTCAATGCTCTCCTCAGTTTTGGAATTTTCTGGGTTTGGTGGAAGATTTCAACACGCAGCAGCAAAAGAGAGTAGATTAACATTAATTAAATATATGCTTCTGGGGTCTAGCTATAAGACGCCATCACCAAACGAGTTGTGCTGTTCCTACTTATTCTACTAGGAACACTTATTCTGTGGTCTTAAGTCTTTAAAATTTTATTCATAAAGATAATATATATAATTGGTGATCCAAATTATTGGTGTTACAGACATTATTGGCTTATTGACAGAAGTGTTGAAAGGATTAAACTTATTTGCATTAAGCCAGATAGAGGTCAACATTTTGCCAAGGAAATCAAGGCCTAAAGGGGAAAAATAGCTCAAAAACTGTCCAAAATTCTATCATAAAAGCTGTTCCCACTAAATTCTTTCTTCTTGTAAGATGAGTATTCATAATCTGTTTATTTATGCTTTAATTGATTGATATTTAAGAATTTATACTATAAAATCAATTGAGAAGCAGCAGTTTGAATCATTCCATCTGGCTTAGTATAGAACTTGTACAGAAAAAATGATGCTGATATTATTGATATAAGATGAAAAATAATCTGAGTATTGAGCATCTCTAATTATAACTTTATTATATACATATCAAGGTCAATGAATCTCTATGAATAAATCAATAAAAGAATGAAGTATTAAATTCTCTATTCTTCCACTGTGAGTGGCTAAATACTTGAACTAGATTAAGCTACTCTAACTTATATATCATCGTTCCATCGCCAACCCCCCTTCATATCAGCCTGGGCGTTAGGTGGATTTCCTATCATGTTGTCATGGGGAACATTCAAATGTAGCGATTCAATGGAATCAGCATCACACTAATATCATCAACTGAACCTCGTGACACAGAAAGGTCTACTAGCTTTTTGCAAGCTAACATTGGTGCTGGTACATCGATACCTCTGCAAAAACGGCGAGCAACATCAACTGCTTCCTGGTTACTAACCTGAAAACAGAGAGAAAGAATCTACTTACATTAGTTTTGAACTTTTACTTGATTGTTAGGATTGAATTCATAAAAAAAAAAAAAAAAAAAAAAACTCTTGGAAGAGAGTGATAGACAAGAAACTATATGTTACCTTATCCCACAAGCCATCAGATGCTAGAATTAAGAACTCGTATTCGGGTTTGATTCTAATGATTGTTGTCTCCGGCTCAGCTATTATCCAATGTTTAAGGTGGCGATCACCAATGCCTCTAGACACGGCAAGAGACCCCTGCACTCTCCATAGACCATGGCACAAATCAACATAACCACCCTGCAAAACAAAATTTGTCACAACCCATTAGCTGAAATTCAAATAATGTTTCTTCTTTATAATTTGTGCATTAGTAAAATTGTTCAGCTGCTTACCAGAGTCTCAATTCTGTTTCTTTCATCCTCCCTTGAGGGGCGGTGATCAGATGTGAGGGCCTCAGCAATGCCTCCACGGCTCATAACAGCACGACAATCACCAGCATTTGATACAACAAGAGTTCCTTTTCGTATCAAAGCAGTCACACAACATGAGCCACCATGAACATCTTCTTTTAGAAACTCAGAATCTGTATTCAAATAACCACGTTTGACTGCATCCCGAATTTCATGTTCACCCCTCTTCATCACTTCCTCCAAAATGTTCTTATCTAGATTCTCTGCTGCAAATTCAGCAGCTTTGGCACCTCCATGTCCATCAAAAATACCAAAGACAGCCTGCAATTAAAGAGTTCAAGCATATCAAACACCACTCAACTCTAAAAGTTATATCATCAAGACTCAGAATTCATGTTTCTATAGCCAACTCAAATTCTAATATTTCATAAATTATTGCTAAAAATTCCCTTTAAAAACACAATTTAAATATTTTTTATTGAATTTATTGCAAAATTTAATTCTTGAATTAAGTAGACGACTTATCAATTATCACCAAAACACAATCTTTATCGCTAAAATTCCCCTTTGAAGGCACAATTTTACTGCTTTTTAAACAAATTTATTGCACAAACTTCAGCATCCTAATTCTCCTTAACACTATTGAAACTTTGTTCTATCCTATCAAAAATATAAAAGACTCAGAGATCAATTAACACAATACCTGTTTGGAATCCCCTTGAAAATCAAGGACAGCAGAGTAACGATCCTCCATAGATTCTCTTCTCCCTCTTTTACAATAAACAGAGTAACACCCTTCTCTTTCCTCTTCCAATTCATCTCTTCGTACTTCTCTGGGAGTCACCATCCCTCCAAAGCTCATAGCAGCCACCGGAATATCAAGCTTCGCCGGCCTCTTTCTCTTCAATATCGTCTGTGGGGACGCCGCACCTACACCCACAACCGCAGCCGACGCCGAAGAAGAAGCCGACGACGACGAAGTCGACGTCGTTCCAGTGGGTGGCTTCTGAAGACGAAACCGAAACGGAGAAGAAGGCGAAGGCGAAGACGGAGTCGGAGACAACGAAGAGGAAGGCGAAAACTTTACGTGGGTTAATGGAAGCGCTAGCGTTTCGAATAGAGACGATGAGGGAGAAGAAAACACCGGAGAATTAGAAACCTCTATTGAACACGACATTATTATTGTTTCTGTTTTTGTTTTTCTTGTTGCCAGAAAACAATCATGCAAACAAGATCAACCAAAAATTTGCTAACGTTTGGAAAGTGTTTTTCTGTGTTTTTTGTTTCTGTTGTTAAACGAATTTTTTACGTTTGAAGCGTTAAAAGAGAAAGATATTTAAAAGAGAAAGAGTCTTGGGCTTACACTTCCATTCTCCGTGTTTTTCGACAGACTTTTGGGTTTATTTTTAGACTTCTTTGACCAAATTTATTCGAGCGCTCCTTCCTTGCGTAATTACACTTTTACCCTTTTCAATCAAACACATCACATTAACTATATATTATTACTTTATTTAACTCAATTGTGTCTAAATCCATTTATTAATTATAAAATCAGGATAATTTATATTTATTTTTATCCAACTGTTGTGAGATATATAGATAGATAGAGAGTGGTTAACAGGCTTTCTTAATCTAGCTTCAAAAAAATTAATTTTTGAATAAATAGGGGTAATATTTATCCAAAAAGAAAACTAATAATAAGAATCAAAAAGGGTAAAAGGGTAATTGAGGAAAGAGGGAGCATGGGGGCTGGGCATAGTGAAGAGGACATAAAGGTCAAACACGTTAATAGGTGTACAATGAGAACAGTGTGTAAAGAGTGTGCTTGTGTTGGATGTCATTTCTTAACATTGTAGAACTTGCTGTGACTTAGCTGGGGTCGCACACTGTCAGGCAGGCTGTTATCAAACACCGCCTTCGCAGAAGTTACCGTTAGATAGAGACGTACTCGTTTACATGACCGTTATTGTCCTGAAATTCAATCGTTACTCTTTTTTTATTTATTTATTAATTTAATTAAAATTTTCATCTTTTTTTTTTTTTTAAAAACTGCCCTGCCTTACCTAATAGGCTAATACCGTATTTAATATAATTTCATCAAACACTACGTCGTTTAGGTTCTATAACAATGGGTTCTGATTCCTATAAAGGAGAGTTGACATTGTCTCCATCTTCCCCAGAATGAAATAAGAAAGTGCCTTTTAGCTATGGCTAATTCATGGTCCATATGGAATGGACCCAGAGCATAGTTTTAGCAGAATTATAGGTTTATAACCAGAAGCTTGAAGTTTCGTTAATCTGAGTCAAGCTTGAAGTTTCTTTTTGTGTCAGCATCATGACTGGCACCATAACTGGTCGTCCAGTCCAATTTTTACTCGGTCAATCTCAATTATTTATCTGGACACCATAAATTACTCAGTTTCCTCCACCAAACAAGCTTTGAGTTGGATCTTCGTAGGCATTTTAGAATTTTAAACCATGTAAGAAGTCAAGCCTTATAATTAATTGGACTTCCAAGACATAAATAATATTGTTTAATCTTTTATCCTTTGTTATTGAAATAGTTCCTTTTGTCATATTTTCCTCCTCCTTCGTCATTCGTCAACATTGATGTGGGCATGATATTATAAAACAGGTCTTATATGTAAACAGAGAATCCTCCGACAGTGTCTCTCAATCCCCGACGTCTAAGTACAACACAAATGCTGCCCTGGATAGCGAGGGGAACAACTTGTTAGGCTCCATTGTAGATATTGCCTCACACAGAGTAAGCAATATTATTATCAAAATCAAAACTTGAAGTCCTAGAACATCTACAAAAACACCCAAATCTGAAATTATATAACATAAACTAAGAAAATCATCGAACTTTAACATAAAACCAGATTTAAATTGGAGTAATAAGAAGTAACTCAGTCCCTTAGATGTTCAAAATGAGTTGCGATCATATCCGCAAGTCATTACAGGTCTGTAGACTCATCACTGTTGCTCCATTACTCGCAAAAACTCAAAATTAGAGAAAGTGTTCTCCCAAAAAAAGGGTAAAAAAGTTAAGGGAGTGATATCAAGATTAGACCCAGACGGATTGGTGTAAATGGCGGGCCAGCCCACCAGCAAGGACGGGCCGGGTTAGGCCTGCCTATTTGTATAAAAGGGTCATTCTAGCCCGCCCGATCAACCCTAATCCGACAGGTTTTTGTGCGGGCCGGCTTGGCAAAAAATTTTTTTTTAAAATTTTTTTAGTTAACTTTTTAATTATCAATTCAATTCAATTAATTTTTTTAGTTAACATTTCACATATTAATTCAATTTTAATACAATTAAATTGTAATATGAGAAAAATTAGATTTATTCATTTATATAAAAAAAATAAGAAATTACAACAATTATTGCTTCGTAAAAAACCTTATTAAGAAAAACTCAATTGGGACAAAGACTTGATAAGGAAAAAAGAGTGCAATAATTGATAATTAATTTACAAATTACAATTTACAATTTACAAAACAACTAATTTGAGGGTTGATTAGGACCTCCCTCATTTGTATCATCTAAATTACAAAATTGAAATGAATCTATTAAAATATCCTCGACAACCTCATATTGATCCTGATGGCGCGATTGTTCTCAATCTCGAAGACATATGAGGACTTTAATCATTTTTTTGTGAAAGTTTAGTCTTCCTTTCATTTAAAATTCTTCCACTTGCACTAAATGTTTGTTCGGATGAAAAAGTTGAGACATGAACAGAGAAAACATCTAGGGCAAGTCTTAATAGTATCGGAAAAATACATTTTCTGGTTTTCCAATATTCTAAGACATCAAAGTTGGCTCTTTATTGTAGATCCTGCTGGTAGCAAGTTAGGGGTTCCCAAATATTGGCAAATCTCATTACTTTGCAGCTGCATGGAGGACAATGAGTAATGCTACAGACACATAAATTTTAAACCGAATTTTTGTACTGAAGGACGTGGCAACCAGTCAGACGCGACTATGCTGGAGTCTTTCATGAATGAACAGTCATCCAACATTTATGAACGCCAGCCCATATTTAATGGACTCCCATTAATATTGTATGGACGGGTGTACATTTGCTACGAACCCATCTCGTCCAAAAAATTTTAAAAGAAAAATAATGGATGCCCGTCCATACTTAAAGAAGCCTCCCTCAGCTTCTTTGACTTGGACGCCCGTCCGTATTAAATAATAGCATTTTTCCTTGCAAAACGTCTACAAGCATGAGATCAGATTCATGAACTGCAGAAAGAGCACCAATCAATGTTGTGTAAGCTGAAAAAGCAGGCCTGAATTTGAGTGTTGTTTGTTGAAAATGTCATAGCAACTTTAGTTGTTGAAAGAGTCTTCTTCAAGAATGACTCTTTACAAGTTTGGGAATACTTCCATGGAAAAAAAAAAAAGGGAAGAAACAGGTGCCATGAAAATAAAGTAAAGAAATAGGTGCTATTAAATAGAGAAATGGACGGGCGTCCAGCTAAGAAGATGCTCGTCCAGTACTTTTTTTTTTTTTAATTTAAACAATGGACGGGCGTTCATCTAATAAGGACGTCCATTTATTCAGTAGGGACGCCCGTCCATAATATGTGGACAGGCGTCCATGATTTTTGTTTTCAAATTTTTTTTTTTTGGTTTAAATTATGGACGAGAGTCCATTATTTTTCTTTTAAATTTTTTTGGACAGGCATCCATCTAGTTAATGGATACCCATCCATACAATATGAACAGGAGTCCATTAAATATGAGCGAGCGTCCATAAATGTTGGACGACCATTCATTCACGAAAGACTTCAGCATGGTCGCGTCTGACTGGTTGCAATGTCCTTCGGTACAAAAATTCGGTATAAAATTTTGATGACTGCAACATTACTCGGAGGACAATATATTCGTTGTTGATGCTTCTGAAGAGGAGGTTGTACTTCGGGTTTGGGTCTTCTTCCGCTTATTAATTGCACTCTAGGAGTCGAAGTCGAAATCTTCATTTGTGTCTTCTACTGGTACTTTCTTGGGTATTGCGTCTCTTTGCTGGTTCTCATACCTACTTTCATATTGCAAATATACCTCTCCAAGACACTTTCTTATCTCTCCTAATTGGTTAGCATACACTACTTCTTGTAAATTTTCACTTAACGTGTTTAAAACACTTTCTAAATCTACTAATTTAATCCTAGGATTAAATATGGCAGCTAAACAATAAAAAAAATGAATGGGTTTCCAATATTATTTAAATTTAAATTCCATTGCTTTTATTGGTCTTAATGTTTCTATTTCAAGCAAATAAATTTAATTTTTTTAAAATTATATGTATTACCAATGGACTAGTAAGATAATACGCACCATAAAATTTTAAAGTGACTAGATAAAAGGTTTTAAGAAAAGAATGAAATTTTTAAGTTATATGTTAATCACTCACTACTAAATAATGAGGACCCTTCTTATTTGCCACAAAATAACTAATTAAATTTACATAAAGTAAACATGAATTAACCATTAAATAAGTACTATTCCACCTAATTGGTATGTCTAATGTAAAAGTTCTAGAAGACAAATTTGAAGTTGTACGACTACAAGCATCTTTAAATTCAAAATTTCTTCTATTACTACTAGTAATCCAAGCTAAGCAATCCTTAATTCTATCAATATTATTTCTAATTCTTGTCACACCACTTTTTACAATTAAATTAATAATGTGACATGTACAACGGTGATGAAAAAACTTTAAATTGTCATAAAAAAGAAAATTGTGTTTAAAAACATCTACAACTCTACTATTAACACTTGCATTATCTAAAGTTAGACTTATAACCTTTTGAACAATATCACGTTCTTCTAAAACTTTAACAATTTTATAATAAATTTGTTGACCACTATGATCCACATTCATTAATTTAAATCCCAATAAAGATTTATTTAATTTACATTCGTTATCAAAATAATGACTAGTTACATAAATATAATCCTGTTTAGCTCTACCACTTCAAATATCGGCAATTAGAACCACACTAATATGACAAATATGTATTTCATTTCTTAATTCTAATTTCATTATCTTAAACAAATTTATTAATCATTTCTAGTTGAAGTTTTAGAATAAGTTTTGAATTAGGCTCCATTGTAGATATTGCCTCACACAGAGTAAGCAATATTGTTATCAAAATCAAAACTTGAAGCCTTAGAACATCTACAAAAACACCCAAATCTGAAATTATATAACATAAACTAAGAAAATCGTCGAACTTTAACATAAAACCAGATTTAAATGGGAGTAATAAGAAGTAACTCAGTCTCTTAGATGTTCAAAATGAGTTGCGATCATATCCGCAAATCATTACAGGTCTGTAGACTCATCACTGT